ATTTTAAAAAAAACGGAATTCCATTTCAATGTTGCAACTTTTAAAAGATTAAATCAAACACACCACCAAACAAAACATCGCTCTTCAGATATACAATATACAAAATGAAATACAACATTAAACTTCATTTCCTGACTTAATGATATTTCTTGTTACTTCTCCCGTAATTTTTCAACGTTTCTAGGGATGTGCTGACGCATTTCTAACCACGCTGACTAGAAAACGGGCCTTTACTTTCAAATTTTTCTATAATTTTTTACATACAACTCTTACCGCACTGTTTACGAGCCGTTCCTCCAGAAATTTTCATTCACCTATCTCTAATTCTTTATAATTTACTCACAAAGTGTACCGCACTCACTGACGTGAAACCTTTCCTTGCAGTAAGACGGAGTAAAAACGATAAAACTTTTTTGCAAGTGTGAATTATCGATGTTCAATAACAGTCCGGGGTTTACTCGTTTTCCAAATTCTTGTACTTTTCTCAGACACACAACTGCTACTTCCATGCACTTGAAACAAACGAAATTACGATGTCCAATCAGGATTGCTCGAAAATCATTCTTTAACTATTTTTAATACTGCTGGCTCTTCAAATTACTAAAAACTCCGTTAGTACAAAAACCTAAGTGGGTGGGGCATCACAATGAAACCTAAAGTTCACTGCAATCAAGTCATAAGCATAAAACCTCGTAAACAAGATACGAGAGAACCTCTTTGGTAAAGACATAACTCCAAAAAAATATAATGATAGATTCTTTGCAAATATCAAGCCCTAAATTTTTAATTTGGCTTATATAGGCGTTTCTGAGATGATTGAAAGATGTTTTGAGAAAACAGCAAAACAATGACAAATGATTTGTAAAAATAAAAGCAGACCTCATTTTCCCAGATCTGAGGTGTGAAGAAATAAAAGGAAAAATGCGCTGTTAGAGAGTTACCTTACTATAACTACTGCAGTACAACTTTTACATAAGCAAATCAAGAAGGAATGACATTCACCGTTATTCTACCTAAAAAGAAACAGAGAATAACAAGCCAAAAAAAA